AATAATAAAATAAAAAATTTTTAGCATAAAATTTTGTAACATTGGAATAGACGAATATACAAAAAAAATTGCATAATTTTATATAAGCTTATATGTTAAAAAGTACAGTATATAACATATATATTGTATGTATGTATATATATATTTTAAATAAATAAAGCAGGATCAATAAGGTTTAACGTTAAGTGAACATAACAAATATCTAGCTTAATCAGGTTAGCTTTTCGATGAATTAAATACGTACATAGTTAATTGGTAAAATCATAGTGTATATATAATTTCATATGAATCATATGAATACAGTATCTATCTAGAAATACGTAAGAATGCAAAGATTTGAAGATCAAAAAGATTTGGTGGGGAAAAGTAAATCACACCAGAGAAATTCATGATAAACACGTTTTTAATCCAAAAATCGAGAAAAGGCTTTTTGTCAACGAAAAGTAAATATTAAATAGGAAACAATCGATTGATCGTTTGTTGGGTAAGGACCGAGGGGCGTAAAAAGTATATTGTTAAATAAAGTATAAAGTAACACCAATATAGTAAGTATAAACCAAAAAGTGAAATAGAAATTTTATTGGACTTAAATTGTGGCGGTAATACGAAGATATAAAAAGGGAAATAAGCAATCAGAGAGTGAGCAATTAGAACATGGAAAAAGCAAACACGAGCAATTTTCACGATGTATATGAAAACTTATCAGGAGATTGTAATACTGGACACAAATAAGTAAAACCATATTGATTTATTGTATATGAACCACTATAGACACGTGGATTAATCATTTAACAATTCATTTGGCCGGACTAACACTAGTATTTATTTAGATAAAAAAGGACGCGATCATATGTAATACATTCATAAATAAAAGGACAACGGGTGATCACAGTGTGATCACCTTATTCGGAAATCACCGAAACAGGATTAGTAAATAGATATGAAGTCGTAAGTACGTACGTACGTACAAACTATGACCATATGGAAAGTAATAATAAAAATGTGTATACGTATAATATAAAAATCAAATAATTAATATATAAATATATATATATATATATAGTATATAACTCAATATAATGATTACAAACGATGACATATGTTTATCTAGTGAGAGTAATCGAAGCAAGATCAGAGTTAGAGAGAACAAGTACAACCAAGATTTTCAAACAAAGAAAAAAGCAAAGTAATTGTAAAATACATGATTAAATACATGAATTGACAGGATAAATTCAGCAAGAAAGAAATAGATTACGTAAAATAACTACAATTGTAAAAAATAAATGCTGCGGAAACATTGACGCAAACTTTTCGAGCTGAATACGGATGGATAAGAATGTGGGCGAACACTGACGAATGGGACACAAATGTGGACGATATAGGTACGGAAACGGAAAAAATTCAGTTGAATCTATGAAACAACGTATAATAAGACTACATTATAGCATGTAAACCAATCTCTAATAATTTTCAAATGTAATAAGTTATACGAGTATGAGACGAAATACAAGAAAATACCAGATACAATTTTTTAAATAATTTGTAAAGCGAGATTTTATTTACTGTATGATTTTGTAATAACGCAGGAATCATTTGTTTGTTTTTTTACTATTTTTTGACATATCAAAATTGGAAAGAGTTATTATGCAATAAATTATAGAATCGTTTATATTTTGTATAAATAACAACCCGAAGCTAACTATTGAATTCAACTATTTAACTATATATTGAGTTCGGCTATTGGTTTAAGCTATTAGTTTAAATTATTAGTTTAAATTATTATATAGTTTAAATTATTATTTTAAATTATTGGTTTTTAAATTATTAGTTTAGATTATTAGTTTAATTTTTTTAAATTTTTTTGCGAATATTTATTTTATTATAAATTATTGTGAATATTTATTTTACAGTGAATAATAAAAACTGCAAAAGGATTAAAAAAAAAAAAAAAGCATTATAAAAAAAGAAAAAAAAACATTAAAAAAAAAAAAAAAGTATTAAAAAAAGATTACAAATAACGTTAAAAAACAAAAAAGAATTAGTGCAGAGCTTTATTCAAAGGATTAACGTTTTTTCAGCACTTAAAAGAATAATAAACAAATAATGGTACGTAACAAATGCAAATACTACATAACGAGAACAGGGATTTAAAACATGAATTGTATCGATATGAAAAAAAAATACGAAAATTCCGAGTTGACGATAATAAATTACGTATAATAAGTTAAATGATAATAATTAATGGTATAAATTAATGTATTAATTATACAAAAAAGAGAATATTTTATACGTAATATAAATAAGAGAGAGACAAGGAAATAAGATTAACAAATATAAAATATATTTTTTATTAAAGCTATAAATCTATAAATCTATAAATGTATATTAGTTTCAATTGTAAGCACAGAAGTAGTTTCAATTGTAAGAAATTGTAAGTATACGAAAAATTTAAGATGATGTAACGTAATACCCTATAACGATATAATACAGTGGACATTCTTGTTGAAAAGTTTATCAGATCCTGCAACCTTATATTTCTCGATCAATATTTATATCAGTTTACACAAATAATCAATAGGTAAATCATATTTTACACCTCTTAGCGTTATTCATAATCGATATAAAATGTTCCACATCATATAAGTCTTGGGTACGCATGTCAAAGCATTGATGATTACCGTAGTAAAAATTTGGCTGCATCCAATTGAATCATCATCATTGCACGACAACTAAATGCCAATACCTTGTGACCCTATCTTTGCTGCTGTGTTATGATTATTCTCTTTTATTTATGTATGATTGATTATTTATCTATACGAGAAAAATGTACCGACATTATATATTTATTTATCATTTACGTTCATTTATGTTCCAATATACATTTTCGTTTACATTCCAGCTTACAACTTACATTTACTGTACATTACATTCAGCTACATTACATTTTACATTTCAGCAATGGTTAATGGTTAAATTTCTCCCGCCAATTTCCAATTTCCCAAAATTTCATAACCCGCAGTAAATTAGTAATCTTTTTTTTTTTCCTTTAAAAATACTCCGTATTATAAAGTCGTATAGTAAATCGTATAATAAATCGTATGATAAATCGTACAATAAATCGTATAAATATAAAATTGTGCAAATTATATTTATATTTAATTATTGTAATTATTATTTGTACAGTATATATAAATTATTGTTGTATATAAATTATAAATTATTGTATAAATTATTGTATTTAATTATATAAATTATGGATACATTGAACTCCGTTTATGTTGGGTTTATGTTGGCAACACAAGAAAGTTCCAATGTTGCACATCAGATTTAAAACTTTAATTTTACCATATATAGTTTCTTGCAAAACCAAAATGGGTAAACTGTAACGGCCTTTATATGCTTTTATTGTCTCCTCCTACATCATCCGACATTTACTCATAAGGAAACAACCGCTTCGCCCAATCTCTTTTATCTCTCATTGGATCATACTTTGGTCGCACTGCCCTGTTCGTGTTATCAGTAATGCATTTGTGTAATCAATTCACTATTTTTGATTGAGTCAAGTAAATTAATCATTTTTTTTTTTTTGGCCGCAACCAACAGAAAAACGTAATGCGCACCAACACTTTTTATAATTTTGCCCAAAATTTCTTTTTATATTGGTTACTCTAAATGTTGATGACTCTTTTATGACTCATTTATTTATAAATCTTTTTTACAATACATGAACTAAATGATACTAAATAATAGTAAACGATAGTAAATGATAGGTTGATAGTATATTGATCAAGTTTCGCAAGTTTTGATTGTTTTGGACGACGCATCATCAGGCATGCGTTATCCAACACAAAAACCATACAAACGCCCCTTGTGTAATTTAAAATGAGTTGTACTCTCACCCCTTTATTTTTTTTTTTTTTTATTGTGCGGCAACCATCTCAAACACATATAATAACACCAATTTCAACTTCTTTCTCAAATTCTACAGTACTTGTATTTTTCAAAAAAAAAAAAATAAAAAATAAAAAATAAAAATAAAAATAAAATACAGTACAAGTAACAACCCATATTATCATTTTTATTTAGTCCGGTTAGTATTCGGTATTTTTTTTTTTTTGTTACGATCACTTTTTTATTACTTTTTATTACTTTTATTACTTTATTACTTTTTATTACTTTTTTATTGAATAGTTTGTAATGTTCATTCAATACTACTTTGTCTCTTTACTGTCTATCACCATTATTAAATCTTATTATATCGTTTTCTTTTTATAAAAAAAAAAAATATCAGTTATTATTGAAAAAAAAAAATTCTATTTTTTTGGTGCGATATACAAATAACTCCCTCTCAGTTTTACCCTTTTTTTCTACCCCACCTTTATTTCTGTGTAGGTATATTTATATACTATTTGTTACTAATAACAAACTTCCTTCTATTATTTTTTTATTAATTAAAATAAATACTTTCTCTCTTATATAACTACTAGTTTTTATTTTTTTACTATTACGGTACTTAATATTTGATAATAATATTAATAATAATAATAAAAAAAAAAAAGAGTACAACTGTAAAAAGTTTTTATTACGTACTTCGAAACGATCTAACGAACTCCGACCTTATTCGACACGTTTTTTTTTATATACACGTCAACAAATTAGGTCCGTTGTAGTATATAGTAGATTACAAGAAGTGTTAAGAAGCATTAAAATTAAGAAGCATTAAACTTTAAGCGAACGAACGGAAGAAAAAAAAAACACACGTTGAGAAAATTTTTAAATTCTCTTTTGATCTTTTTGATTTACACGCGGAGAACTGTTAAAGGTTTGTGATCGTAGCTATAATTTTAAGTTTTCTTTTTAAACTTTTTTTGAAATGAATCCTAGTTATTCAAATTAGATTTTTAATCAATTATTTGGTTCATTCTTTTTACTTAAATATCTTTTATAGTAACTCCTGAATTTAACGAATCGTAAAAAAAAAAAAAAAAAAGTACATAATAATGTATAATCGATATCAATCAAATCAACCGACGCCAAACAATCAAAGGAACAATTATCCCGCGTACGGTCAAACTTTTCAACCACCTCAACCACAGCAGACTCCTGCTGTACTTCATGCTGGGCTACCAACTCATGGTGCTACTGCCTCACAATTCAATGCTTTTACACCTTTATCAAATTATGGTTCCAGATTTAGTGCTGATCTACGCGCAGGTTACGGAGCTGCTCACATAAGTTCTCATCAATCACAAATACAACAGCAAACACAACAGCAGCATTTATCATGGCAGAATAAAAATTGGAGTGCTGATCTTAGTACATCCGGTGGTACAAATTCACAGGCTAGTCACGGAGGTAATATGATGACGGGTAATTTATACGGAACTGGTGGTGCTAGTGGAAGTAATGCAAATTCTAGTTTATACGGTGCTACTCAGCAGCAACAACAAACGCAGCAAGCTCAACATCAGCAACAACGAAGGTTACCACAACAACAAACTATTCGAATAGGTGGTGATGATCATACTTATCAAAGTCATTCTACAATTGGTACCTTTTTCTCTCACATCATAATTTATACTACCCTTTATTAATTCTACTTTTTTCTTTTCATTTATGTGCTTACACTTATTTAAATATTTTTAAGCAGGTGGTCATACTCCACAACCTTCAATGGCCGCTTCATTGTCGGCATTTCATACTTCTCCCACTCCCGCTTCTCAGCAACCACATAATACCGCTCATAACAATAGCATGCTTTCTCTTCCAAATCCAAATTCTTCCTCATCTGTTACATCTTCTTTATTGCGTCAACAAATGTATCCTACTATGGATACTATGTCTTCGATCACTGGAATGGGTGGTTCCCTAGGTGTTAGTGGCTTTCCGAGACATGATGCTAATTTAAGTCAATTTACTGTTGTAGATGATGCTGTAAGTATGGATCTTTTCTTCACATGAAATGTTTATATATACTTTATTTATTTAAATTAATTTTATCTAATTTTTTTGATGTTAGCAAACTGATATTGACGCTGATGCTCTGATGGATAATCAGATGGTAACAACCACATTGGCTTCAAACACCCCGTCCACTCAAACATCAATATCACCAAATAATCAACAGAATTATATGAATAGTGGCATGAACAATCGTTATTCTCAATCTCAACATCAATCACAACCACAGCAGCAACATCAACAAACTCGACAACCACAACAAACTCGTTATTATACCCCTGTTTCTTCACCTAGTAATTCTATTAATAGTATCACTAATTCAGCAACCGTTTCTCCTTCCGTAAACGGTTCGATCTCCACTCCTAAACGTCAATCGACTGATACTAGTAATCTTTATGGTACGAGTAGTATTTCAAGAAATGCTACTATATATAATAATAACCTTAATAGTTATGTGATGAGTGGTCAACCTGGTCAACAGCAACAATCTTATACTACTCAACAACAGCAACAATCTCATACCACTCCACAACAGCAACAATCTTATACTGCTCAACAAGCTGCTCAACGTTATAATTCTCCTGATAGTTTTATTTCTCCTAATGTCGTCGGTAGTTATTCATCTCAACAAACTACCTCTTCTAATGTTCAGCAACCACAGCAACAATTTCAACAACAACATCAACAGCAAATTCAGCAACAACAGTTACAAAATCATCAACAAACTACTCGAAGTCCTTATCAGAATTATAATACTACTTCTCCTAACATTACTGCTCAACAACAACAACAACCAATACATAACAGATCTTCTATTAGTCAAAATCCGACTCCTATAAAATCTTCTCCATTAATAACGAAACCTGCGATTCCAAAATCTTCTATGATACAATCTGGTGTACCAGCTCAACATGTTCAACAGTTGCAGTCGCAACAACAATCTCAAATTCAACAGCAGCAGCAACAACAACCTCAATTGCATCAACAACAACCGCAATTGCATCAACAACCGCAATTACATCAACAGCATACACAATTGCAACATAAGCAGCAACAACAACAACAGCAGCAGCAGCAACAGCAACAACAGCAGCAGCAACATTCTCAATCGCTGCATCATCAACAGTCACAACAATCTCAACAGATGCATCAACAGCATCCTCAATCGATGCAGCAGCATCATTCTCAACAACAATCTCAATCTTCATCTCAATCTTCTGATCCTTCTCAAATGCAACTTTCTTCTCAAAGTAAAACTACTCCAAAACAAATGGCTCGTAATACTATTGCTGGTGGTAATACTCCATCACAACAACAACAACCATCAAGTTTTCCTCAGACTAATGTTGCTGCTCAGGCAAAACCTTCAAAGAATACTCCGGTTAACACAACTCCTACTCAGTTACCAAAAACGACACCTTCTTTACCACCTCAGGATGTGAAGAATCAAGATATATCTTCTAATATTTCTCAATCAAAAGATCAAAAGCCAAAAAGACCTATGAATGCATTCATTATATTTTCTAGTGAACGTCGACCAGAATTACAAAAGAATGATCCCAACATGCAAACTGCTCAAGTCAGCAAAATTTTAGGTGAAGAATGGCAAAATATGGATAGTGTATGTTTTAATTTTATATTTTTAAAAATAATTATACCTTTATGTTAATTATATTAATTTTAATAATATTTATGACTTTATAAACTGTAAATAGGCTAGAAAAGATCATTATAATGAAAGGGCTCGACAATTGAAGGAAGAATTTAAACAATCGAATCCTGATTTTGTATATACACGTCGTGGTACTGTTGGTGCTACAAAGAAGAGAGGTTCAACTTCATCTGCAACTCCAACTGTTAAATCACCGGATACAATAGCTGTTCCTCCTCAGGCCACTAATGTGCCAATAGTGAGTAATCTTAATTTATTGAATTTCATTTAATTTCATATTTATTAAATTTTTATATAATTAAAAAATAATTAAAAAAAATTTATTTTTTTTTGTTTAGCCTAATGGTTCAGTTAATGGAGTAACTTCACATAACGCTAGCAATGTATATACATCTCCACATCAACATACACCTGCACCTTCTTCCACGCCTACTCAACAACAAAGAAGTACTCCAGTTGCTGCAACTCAACAGGTAAAATTAACAATGTTATAAACTTCTTTTATAATTATTCAATTATTAAACTATTCATTATTTTATTTTTAAAATAAATAGACTCAGTCAACGACTACACCACAACCTCAGTTACGGACTCCTCAAACAATTGGTTCTACTTCTACTACACCTGTTTCATCTGCTAGAAGAGATCGTAAACTGAGAAGGCCAATGAATGCATTTTTAATATTTAATAAAGAAATGCGACCAAAAGTTTTAGAATTGAATCCTAATATGAGTGTTGCGGAAATTTCAAAAACAATTGGTGAAAATTGGCGTAATATGTCTGAGGTAATTTTTTCAAATTATTGTTATTTTTATATTTGCTTGTTCTAATATATATATATATGTTGGCTTAAAATAGGAGGAAAGAGAAAGATACCTTCAGAAAGCTCGTGATTTGAAGAGTGAATTCCATGAAACGCATCCTGATTTCGTTTATACTCGTAGGTCAAAAGCTGAACTTATTGCTGCTGGTCATCATAGTTATTCTAAAAAACGTAGTTTTCCTCAAAATGAAAATTCTGATACTGATGAAGAGCCCCGTTCTTCACATGGAAATAATCCTCGCGACGGTTCACCAGCAACTTCCCCACAAAAAGATCCTCGAGGTCGTAAGAAGAAACGAAGTCGTCATCCTACTGCACCTAAACATCCAATGTCTGGTTTCTTATTTTATGCTTTAGAAATGAGACCTCATGTTGCTGAACAAAATCCTGGAAGTACGGTTGGTCCAATTAGTAAAATTATCGCTGGTCATTGGAAGAATTTAACACCTGAGCAAAGAGCTCCTTGGGAGAAGAAAGCTTCGGACGATAAAGCTAGATATGCAAGAGAAATGGAGCAATACTTACAATCTCAAAAAGATGATGAATAAATGTGTTGAATAAAAGTGTTGAATAATAAAAGTGTTGTGGAATAAAATAAATTGATGTTGCTTGGTTTGCTGTTTATTGATATAGATAATGGTGGTAATGGTGGTAATGTTGATAATGGTTGTAATAAGATTAATTTAGAATAATTTTGATTATTTTGTGCATTTTTTTTTATTTTTCCCCCCTTCTGACGAATTATAATTCGTCATTTTGTATATTTTTTGTTATGCAAGCAAAAAAAAAAAAAAAATTGTAAATTTTTTTCTTGTTTGTAGTTAGTTTAAAATTTTGATTGAAGGTTTTGTGAATAAGAACGAAATTATGAATTAGTTAATAATTGATAAAAAAAAAAATTTTTTTTATCGCTGTTTATATTTTCTAAGAAAAAAAATCATTAATATGGAAAGATTTTTTTTTTTTTTTGCATAAGTATTAATACACACAATCGGGTCGGGTTCAGTACCAATGAAGCTTTATAAAGCTTTTTATTGCTTTCACGTTACTTTTCAAAACCACAAAAAATTTCTCCTTTTTACACCAACACCTTTTTTACAGTATATAATTGTGAATAAACAAAAAAGATAATCGAACAATTTTTTTTTTTTTTTAACTTTCGTATTGAATATTAATTTATTTAATAAGTATTATATACACGTGTATATTATTATTATTTTACTGTATATACCGATACTACGTATAAATTATACAAGTTTCTTATAAGACATTTTTATTTATTTATTTAATTCTAAATTATAAAACATACATACGTATAAATATTATGCCTTTTTTTTAACGTTTATAAAATTTTTAATATAAATATAGGAAATTATTATTGTATTGTGTAACAAGTAACTCGGAAATTTTTTATACATCAACTTATTAAGAGAGAAATTATTTAGATACATATAACTTATATAGTAGAAAATTTATTATTTTCGGTAAATGAATAAAATTTATACTGTATACAATATATGTATAATTTTTTAATAAAAAAAATTTTTTTTTTACTGTAACTTTAGAAAAATTTTTTTCTTTGAAGTTATTACGTATCGTAGTATAATATTGTAATTAAGAAAAAAAACTTTTTTCAAAGTTTCAAGAAATAGGTTGTCGAATATAAATTCTGTAAATTGAAATATTAAAAAAAATACTACGGTGTATTATAAACTTTATACAGTATATATATATATATAGTATATAAATACTATATTTAAATTATTTAATAATTTTTTTTTAAAAAAAATAATATTTACTGTAATATATATCAGATATATATTTTTTATATAGTATATTTTTGTTATTACATATTTTATATTATACATTATAAAACAATAGTATTAAATTATACCAATAGTATTTAATACTATATTATATATATATTAATAGTTTTACTAATAAATTTAAATTAAAAATTTTATACTATATTAAATAATTTAAATTAAATTTTTATTTAAAATATAATATATTGATTATATATTTAGTAATAATAATATTTTATTATTATAATTAATAAAATTATTTTTATAATACTGTATAAAATATTTTAAAAATTAATAATTTTAAAAGTTCATACTATAAAAAAATAAAAAATATAATAAAAAACTTTTAGAAAAATATATATAAAAAAAAAACAAATTATATTTGTTAGTTTTTTAATATAATAAAATTTTACAATATTATTTTTTAATATATAATTAACTCTTTTTAATAATTCTTTATACTAAGTTTTACAACAAAAAATTTTTATAAAAACAATAAGTTATAATAATTTTATATTAATATATATATTTTTAGTTTTAAAATAGTTATACAAATTACTATTTATAATTTTTTTTTTTTTTTTTTTTATTAAGATAAGGTCTTGCTTATATCTTTATTAAATAATTTATATAAATAATTATATAGAAGCTATAAAAAATTTAATTTGTATAGTTACAAATAAATATATAAATTATATATAAAAATAAAAGCTTAGACTAAAAGTTTAGAATAAACCAAATTAGTTATCTGTAATCTAAACCTACTAGAGTAGTTAAAACTTATCTAGATTTAAATATATAGTTATAATATATTATAATTAGTAAAAGTACTATATTAAATCTATATTGTAGACCAAATATCAAATTTGTAATTAGCAAGCCTAGCTAATGAGTAGATGTTAAAATTATCATGAAGTTGATCTGGTAAATTATATATAATAGATAGTTATAAGTAAATAACTTTTTAGTTTTAGTAGTTAAATAGAATAATAATAGTTAAAAAGACTAGGTAAAAGAAGTATTAGTAAAGATTTGGTGTACTTTTTTTCAAATAGAAAAGTTTGTATATATTTTTCATATATGATTATAAAGTTAATTAAAAATTTTTATAAAAATTTAAATAATAAATTAAGATGCAAGAAAGTAAAAAATATTCAAAAATAAGTACAAATTGTATAACCAACAAAAAATAATTCCTTTGCAATTTTACCTAATCTTAATTCTAATCTAAATACTAATACTAATTTTAATACTAACTCTAATCTAACTCTAACTCTAATTATTATAGAGATACAATATAATAGAGGTGTAATAAATCATAATTTTCTTAGTTTTAAATCTATAGTTTTTAATATAATATTGTAGTTTATATAAAAAATAACAACTTTTATTATTATACTTTTAATGATTTACTAATAAAAATTAAAACTTGTATTAGAAGCAAAAATTTTTTTAAAAACAAAAATATATAAAAATTTAGAAAATTTAAAGAAAATTTTATATCCCTTTTGATATTAAATTTATACAACAAGACATTTAAATTCGTATAACAGAATATTTAAATTTGTACAACAGGATATTTAAATTCATATAACAAAATATTTAAATTCATACAAAAAAATATTCAAATTTGAATGCACAAAAAACCAGAATATCTTGTAATATAACAATCCAATTTTAATAATTTTGGCATTATTTGAATTATCTAAATGAGATGATTCATATGATACCAAAATTATTAAAATTGAATCGCTAGATTATGAGATATTCTGGTTTTTGTATATCTAAATTTGAACATTCTTTTGTACAAATTTATGAATTTAAATATTCTGTTATATGAATTTAAATAACCTATTGTATGAATTTAAATGTTTGTTGTAAGAATTTGATATTAAAAAGAATAGTAAAAATTTTTAAAGTAAAA